TCAATAGAGCGGCCATAAGAGAAATTATTTGACATCACCAAAAATTCCTGACAATAATGTCCTTGAGTGGCCACCGCAAATATAGCCCTACCGTTAGCAGGCCAGTTAGTCTACTGCTCAGTCTTTGCGTTTCTCATGTCGATTTTTCACGGCCTTGTGGGAAGTTGCGCTCTCCAGTATTCACAGAGATAATCTTTTCCACAGCCCCGCGTGGTGAATTTTATAGACACTAGATCCTATACGACTTGGACGTCGCGATAACAGTGGCAAAGAAGCTCTCGGTGATCTAATGGGAAAGTACCACCCAAGCACCAAACAGGATTCCTGCAAATACAGTGTGTGTGTGCACTCCGCTCCGCAGGGATTGATCCAGAAGACTCACGTACGTTTTTAGCAAGGTTACTGTGGCTGTGATCTCATATTTGTGGGCCAAATGCCAACCCTATTGTGCCATGTGCCAAAATATTCTAGTTAGGCCAACCTGGCTATAATTACCCTTTCTAAATTGCCTGTAAACCTGAGGAGGAAGTTTGGCTAGTCTACTGAATTTCTGTGCCAGCTTATGCTTACAAAAATATAACTTCCAAAAGGTCATTTCCATTTTCGTTTTAAAGGTTTTTTTTCTGTTTCCACACGACTTTATGAAAGCTGGTTTGCAGCACCAAATGGAGGGCAGATTCTACTTCATGCTTCCTTGGGTTCTTGACGCGCCAGGTGAGCCCACCTTAATTTCACCGTTGGTGGTCTCCTTTAATGAATTAAAAATCTGTAAAAAGGACAGTTCCAGAATGAAGGCTCTATATGCTCCAAAGCACGTGTTTTGTGGCGTTCCTCCTCCAGACATCGCTGATAAAAAGGGCAGAGGGTTGCACCACACGCACACAGTGATCTTTAATCCTTTCATTTTCGGTTATAACTTGGCCAAAAAAATTGAATTGTTTAATCTTTCCGACAACCAGATGATTATTGTGTGCTCGAATCTGCCGCAAATACCACTGTGTACAGAATAATGTAACGTTACCCTCAGCTTTGGTTTGGTTTACATGTCATTGTTCAGCGAAATACAACAAGTGCTCCTCAGGTCAACCAAGGTTTTGCCCTAAAAAATCAGAACCTAAAATGCCATTTGTAATTTTGGGGACGAGGGAATTCCTAAATAAACATCAGATGGCAAAAGCAAGGCAAGCCAAAATATCAGCAGTAGTGTTACTTTAACCGCGTCTTGGAATCTTGGTTGTTCCAATGGTTGATATTTGGAAAAATGGATCAATCAAAGGAGCTTTGATCTTTAAAGCCGTAAATCGCACCGCAAAACAAATTTGTTTTTGGCAGATACACTAATAAACACATTTAATAATACTCTTCAAACGATTTCTTATTCGGAGGACTGATCAATCGAGGCTATTTCATGGCACTATACAAATGTCTTTCATTGCCCTGTATATTTAGTAGTTGCCGAACTCAGTTTCCTGGAGTACTGAAAAGTTTTCCGTTTCGGGTTTAATAATACACCCGTACTGTTCCTGGCACAAGTGCTGCACGTGCACAGTACATTGTATTCGAGTGCATAGCACAAAATAAAAAGTTCTCTCAAAAGCAGAAAAAAAGAGAAAATTGACCCATAAGGAAATCTGTCGTGTGCGAATATCTTCTTTTCACGTGTACTTAAATTGATATAAATTTCACTTGCTATTGAAAGCGAACAGTATTAGGATAGGTGTAGTTTAGAGTAGGGATACAGGGGTCCGTCGTCTTGGCCAGTAGGATTTACTTCAAGCTGTCTATCACTCATTTCAACCTCTTTTCAATTATCAACACCCGTTCTTCGTCTTGAAAGGGCAGGATACCCATTATAGCAGGCTCCCTGCAGGCATGTATCTCTGTATATCTCCCCAGGAGAAATGGGCCATTCTGTGCTACGACAAAGGCAGGATTTGAATGCAGGCAGACCGGAGATGAAAAGACGACGTCGGTTGGAGTGGAGGCAGAATTGCTGCAAAGAGATGGCAGGGTGAAGTCATTTACGCGATCTGAACGTCCTGGATACGTGCAAGTTATTTCCCCTTCTTCATCGGAAAAATTAACTTCTCTGCAACTGACAGCAGACCCAAGTTTCCCATTTCTCTGTAAGGTCATTCGGTCAGTTGTTTGTAAAAGCCTCTTTATCGTTTCAAAGACTCTGTAGGACACACGAGTCAGCATAGAATTCGACAGTTTGATGTTTTTTAAAGTTAGACTGCGAATCGATGGTTACTCACTCTAAAAGCTGTGTTCTATCACTTTTCACACCTTATGCTCTGAAGCCAAGCCATTATCCAAGCCCTAAACATCACATTGTTCAAGCCCTTAACGTCAATATTCCAACTCTAAACACCGTTTTGCTCCAGACATGTGCACAAACTGGTAGCAAGAAAGTGCACCCAAAAAATGTTTACTTTCAACCATGATGCCCCAGGCTACTTGTCATCGGATTTGACTGGATACAAGGCAATGCAATAGTCGTGAACTACCTACGCAAGAGTAGCTGTAATTAACCTGTTTATTGGCTTAATCTCGGACGTCAAGTTTCGGAGAAAGTCCTAAAGACTGTTGCAGAGGAAAATATGACCAACGTTCTAACAAGAAGAAGCAGCCCTGTCAGCACCGTCGAGTTGCCAGCATCTGGCTTACCTGGACTTTTCCCAGAAATCAGTGGAGAGATGAGTTCTAATTTGGTTCTAAATACCACGTATAACATGGGAGCCTATCTGTTTTATTGTGTGTTTTCTGAGAATAGCTTACTGGACTTCCCAAATTATACCAGTATTATGTCCTTTGCATCTGCAGTGGACTGAGATCTTATTGTGATAGATGTAGTAACTGACTTCAGCATGGAGCTAATAGACCGACTGCGCCCTTTGAAGTCACGTGACCTGTAGTGGGTATTAAATATCAACCGTACACGGCGTCCACCAAAAGCAAAGTGTTTCCTTAGTATCATTACCCTATTAAACCCCCCCAAAAAGCCAACGGTAGGAACCGTACTCAGACTACTGATGTGCTGGGTAACGGTAATTTACCGTAAATTGGCTTGTAAACAACACCCAAAACACACGTTGCTATGGGGTTGATAGTTGCTATGGGGTTGATAGTCACTGTAGGTCACGTGATTTAGCGGACACAATCGGGTTGTAGCTCCATGATTTATGAGTTCCTTAAGCAATGCCTGCGTGAACCCTCCTTTGGAAGTTTTGTACGATTCCGGTGTGTATTTTTTTTGCGTGTGTTTGTCCTGTTTTTTTTTTAATTTATTTTTACATACGTCCACTAAAGTTACGCCTATTCGTCTAGGCCTGAATGCAATACTTGTTATCCCATTCTGTCAAATTGTCTGTCTTCAAACTTCCTCTAAATCCTCTTATTTGCCGCAAAATTCTATATTAAAATCTTCTTTTTTTCATTGGTCTCGTTCGGTCTAGTTCAAAACCGGTTCATTGTTATAAAGTTTCCAAGGAGGGTATATAGAGAGCCACCGTACAAGAAGTTCCCTGTGATAACCACGCTCAGTGACATCCCAGTCTATCCCATGTTAGACTTCACACCTTGCTGGACTTTCTCAAGCCCTGTCGGCATTTCATCAGACTAGTCCCGCATCTCACCTGCCACAACATGGGATTCTCGCAGGCTTATGTCAATCGAAAACTGTGAACGAGTTCCTCTGTTCTCTTCTCCGATCACCATACAAATGCCCCGCCTGCCCCCCCCCCTGCTCTGCTCTGATCCTTGCAACCGAAATACAATTCAATTTTGTTCTGCAAGATCAATAGCCGTGGGCGCTGTCGCGGAAGAGGCGGGAAAATGGAGAAAGAAACGAAGAAAAAAGTGAAAGAAAT